GGAGGTGTTGCTGGCCTACGGGTGAGAGGGCGGAGGGACCTTTGGTGAAGTATGCATTAAACTGCTCCACCAATTCTTCCTTTTCCGGTATGGGGTTTCCATCCGCATCGCCCTGAAGCTGACTACTCCTCAACAACTCATCAACAGCCTCCAAAACAATATCCTTATCGTCCTCGATGTTCAAAACCGCCGGTGTCGGGAGATACAATCTGCGTATACATTCCGCAAAGGCGTCAATAGTCGTCACGAAGGGAAGATAGATCTCGGAAATCGATCCATGCGCAGAGGAGGGCGCGAGTGTGTCCATCAACGATTTGACCGCGTCGTTCGAGAATGTTATTATAACTAGTTCTTCGGGTAAGACACCACCAAACATAAGGCGATACACTCGTGCGACGAGTGTTCGGCTTTTGCCGGATCCTGGTCTGCAATCATGGTAAAAGAAATGATCAAAATGGTCAATCCTCTTTTTCAAAGCCCAACCTTGCAACCAAAAAAGAAACGGAAGACACAAAATCCCTACCCAGCAACAATAACCAACGGCTCATCCACCCCACTCATCACCGCCTCCCACTGCCGCTCATTCCCCCTAACACCCAACCTCACAATCCTCTCCGACATGATTTTCCGATACTCGTCATCCTCCCCACTCAACCGCGCCGCATACTCATGACACCCCACCAGCGCAACAAGAAACTGATGTCGCGCCGACAGGAAGGGGCGATAAAATTCCCTAACCCCGTTTCCCCCTTGGGAGATTTTCTCTGTACTGTGAAGAGCGGTACGGAGGTTCCGCGCGGTTATGGACGGACCGTAGTGGAGGAGGGAGTGGAGGATGACACTATGAGCTTCCCGAAAAAGATACTTCGTCCCCATAAACCGTCCCGCCAACGCCTCCGCAAGATTCCAAACCTCGCGCTCGTTATATGCCGACAAATGCCGTTGCGCGACGGTCTCCAAATGTGTCCATATAGAAGTCGTTGTAGGCTGTTGTGAATATTTGGTTGCATCATCGTACTCGACCTGCGCGATAGACAATGCGTGAAGGCCAGCTGCTTCACCGCGTTTACAGAGCGCGACGAGGGTGGTGACGAGGGGTATTAGGGACGCACTTGTAGGTGGTGGGACTTGTTTAGCGATAAGGGTTTGGATGTGCTGTTGGAGTTCGGGGAGGGTGTCAAGGAAGGAGAGACAAAGGTTAGGTTGGTCGGCTTCCGTGGTAGGTGGGTTGGTGGTGTCAAGGTCTGTCATGCTTGAGGATGAGGATGCTTCGTCATGGTCTTGGTTACTTTCATCAACATCGGGGTCTGCGTCTGTTGGATGACATCAGTACTGGATATATGGACCAGGGAGGAGATGGAGAGTGTATTCTTACCAATACGCAACTCCTCCCACCCATCCAACAACATCCCAAAATCTTCATGTTCCGTTTGCGTTCCGGAAGTAAGATGTTGCGGTATTGGGTTTACCATGCCACTCTCCCTTCTTGCTCCTCCGACGTCAGTCGTATCCCGATGCCCCGGTGATGGCACCGCCATACCATCTTGCCCCGGCATATCATGAGGACGCCCTGCCCTTCCCCGAAAGTTCGCCAACTGCTCCCTCTGAACATCCAAAAGCCACCTCAACAAATTGTTCTCGATCATCATGCGAGGCAGTCCACTCTGAACTTGCTCCACGCTTTGCTGTGCGATGGTAGCTCCCGCATCTCCCTGTTCGAGAACTTCTCCTAGATTTGGGAAGAGTTGGAGGAAGATTGCGAGACGTTGATCCGTGATTTGTGGTAGCGGGGTGTTTTGGGCTGGTACGGGCGGACCTTGGGCGTGAGGGTGGTGAGGTGGGTTGTGGTAAGGAACAAGGAGTTCGGGAGATGGGTTGCGGGAATCGTCTCCAGGCTGATCGCCTGAGCGACCGTGAGCTACATTGGCATTCACCAAAATAGACGGGCTCACAGACGCTTCACGACCTCCACCACCACCCCTGGAGCCAGACTGGGTACGCTGCCGAGACCGCGAACCGGGAGGCTCGGGAGGGGTGTCGCGGGAGCTGGTGGGGCGTTTGCCCTTTTGCTTTGATGGCGTATTCGTTTCAGACGGTCCCCCTTCATCCCGATTGGCTTTCGTGCGCTGCCATGACCTTATAACAGTAGGTACGGGCGGTGTTTCTCGACTTTCCCGGGAAGTGGGTGGACGGTCACCGGTTTCTGTACGAGGGGGGATCATAACTCATTACAATGATGTAAATGAGGGCGCGGTCTGCATACCAGTGCGGTGGTGATTGGCGCAATTCCTTTTGGCTATAGTAATCCGCCGACAGACTTTTGAGTTTGACGAAAAAGGTTTGGAATTCCGCAGTTTTGAGCATGCAAGCTCGACCTGTCAAACTTGTGAGGGGCCAAAATTCGGTGCATAACTTACGTAATGAAGGGTTCAGGGTCCATGTCGACAAGGGTCGCGTCCGATGAATGAATAAACAAAACTATAAACTCGCACCAAAAACCGTAATATTCTAAATGGCAACACATGAAGATATCTCATCGTTTTCAAGCGTCATAGTTGAATCTACCTATCTGTGTTCATTGGTAATGCTCATATATTAGCACTGGTCCATCCCATTGATTTGCTCTCAATATTTGAGACGATCGTTGTTCTGTGCCCATTTGGGCAGTTGCGCTGTTGTGCTGTTGTGTGCCATCAATACGCTTGTGCCCATGGTAGTCATTTGAGTGCTGCTGGTCATTAATTATCGCTCACTTCGCTCTTCACACTCATTCTTTACTCTTGGCGGCCTTCTACAGCCGAGCCTGATGACTTGACATGCAAGATGTTACATGTAGAAAACAGGACATTATACGGATGGACAAATTAGCAATATACACGCACTACGTGAGGGTAAACGTTTTAAAGCAGAGAAGAAAAGAGAAAAAAAACTATCATGTACCCCTCTTCCGGTTCCACCGGCTGCATCGTTCTCCAACACTATGTACAATTCCCCAACACTACCCTCAATGGAAAGCTCATCTCCCCACCCTACCGCCCCTCAAACACACTCTCCCGACTGAACCTGAACGCCACCAACGTCCCCTTCGGACCCTTCAAGTACCCGATCTGCACGCCGCCATTGGGCTTCAGGATGCGTTCGATGATCTGGATTTCCAGCGGCCTGTTGACATCGTGGAGGAAGATGGTGACGGTGTCGAGGAGGCCTTGTTTGAGGCAGCGGTGGGCCATGCTGACGGACCAGTAGGTTGAGGCGTGGCGGCCGGGGTGGGTGGATTCGTAGCCTTGTGGGGCGTCTGTGGAGAAATGGCGAGCATACACATGTTAGGTACAACCTCTCGAACATCAACCCCAAAGCCAACCGACCGACCAAACAACAAGCCAACATACCCGCCCCCCCCCGCCCCTTCCTCCCTCACGCGGCACATGCACACCCACTCTCGCACACAAAGACGACTCACCAACAAGCACAACATTCCAACAAACATCGCTGACAGCACTCGGCAAGGGCAGCAAATAAGGCTTCTCAAAGAATACCTCACTAGTCCCCACACTCGCACCCTTCTTCGCCTCATAATTATCAAAATGCACCACCTCCAAACTCGGATGCTTCCCCTGCACATCCGTAATCCAATTCCTCCAATTCTCAATAAACAACGTCCTCGTCATCTTCGCATCCGCCTCCACGGTCTCCTTTGACGTTCCCTCTGTCCCAATATTCGACGGGAACCCGCCCGTCGCGACGCAGTTTGCGTTTTCCCATATGGGCGAGTCGAACCCGAGCCCCCAGACGAGGAAGTTGTGGCGGCGCGGTGTTGGGGAGGATGTGACGGTGTATGCGGAGGTTTGGACGATTGTCTTAATGAAGAGGAGTTGGTCGAAGGAGAGTTGGGGTGGGGTTTTGGATTGGGTTGCGGATTTGATGAAGCCGACGAAGTCGGGGGTGCAAGCGGCTGGGCGGTGAGTTGATGGAGTGAGGTTCGTGAAGTGGGTAGTGGTGGACTGGGAGAGGGAGGAGGAGGGAGAGGATGATTGGCCGGAAGGGTTTGAAGATAGGATGTATATTGTGAGGAATATTGCTTGGCAGACGAGGAAGAAGCATGTGCGGCGAGTCCTGGTATCATGGGAAAGTTGATGGTTAATCTCTGGTTGACTTCTTGGTTTGTTTACCAGTAGAGGCTCGATCATTGGTAAATGGGAGATGGGATTACTTACACTAGACTTGAGAAACCCGACTCCCCTTTGCTTGAACCGTTACCGAGGAGACCTTCCTTGACCATTGTGATATATGAGCTCTCCGTTTATTGAGATGGTGATGATGTGAAAGCAAATATCAAATTGTGGGAAGGGTGAGGAGAGTGGAAGAGTGGGTTGCGCCTTTGTTTATAAAGGAGTTGAGAGTGGGAAGCATGCATGCATGCATGAGCTAGGTAGCTCTGGTCTTGAATTTGTCTCCCACCACCACCACCATAAATGGTGTTTGCCAATTCGAGTAGCTTCCCTTAGCTATCGAGTGGGGTGTCTTGTCTGTGATGCCAAGTTGCCTCTTTAACTGGCAGTTAGTAGTTTACCCCTCTCTCAATGGGCTGCTGCCCAATCCGAAGAGTCTTCCCAATCTTCATTCTCACAGCACATCGCTTTATTGTGTGGCTGGTGGTATCAGGGCCCCATTTTGATAAAGTTGAGATACATCGTTTGAAAGAGGAGAGGCGGAGGAGGAGATGCGGCAGGGTGGCAGCTTCAAGGGGTGACGCGTGACAGAGAGGGACAAGTCAAAGGACCCGACATGCGGGGTCTGAACTTACAAGCCTCAGCTGTCACACCCCAAACCTTCCGCCACCCCTCAAATGAATTTTCATATGCAGACGCGTAAAATGGTCATCCTGACTCGAAGATCCAGGATCCAGGAGTCCAGAGGGTAAATTGCCACAGATGTGTGAGAATTGAAAAATATCAAACTTTGACGATGTCAGTCAGCCAAGCCTGCATAAAAATGTATATTGACCGAAGTGGGGTTCGAACCCACGCCTCCGAAGAGATCAGGGCCTAAACCTGACGCAGTAACCACTTTGCTATTCGGCCGTTTTCATACATGTTTTACTGTAAAATAACACACTGAACATCGGTAGACGGACGACTTTTTGTATCACCAAAATTTAAATACAATAGTTTGACAGGTTATACCACCTTTTCAACGGTGTCGGGTTGCACTTGGTAAGTTGGAGCAGTACGTAACACCAGGGATGCAGGGAACAGTCACGAAGCACTTGCGGGGTTGATGTTCCCTTTGTGAAAGTACCTGCAGTCAGTCACCTTCAAGTCAAGAAGTTACAACAACTTACAACCAGGATGTCACATTGTAATGAGTTTGTTCTTCCGCGAATGACTTGAAGACCCTTGGTAGTGTCAATCTGTCATTCGGCAGCCAATCGCATCATCTTCCATTCCACCAGATCACCTGGTCCCCCAAATCGTCTCGCTGCATCGAATCATCATTCAAAATGTATATATCACCATCAATCTCACTTTATTAACAATAAGACCTCTACCCGCTAACTTTCCATCCTGTCACAACCCACCTACTGCGCACCCTCCTGGGGCGCCGACGGCGGTTGACCCGGTACAGGAGCAGGAGCAGGCATAGCAATCAACGGATCGGGATCGGCCTCCACAATCAGCAACTCCGGTTTCTCAGCCTTGAGTTCTTCAAGTTTGCCACGACCTTCTTTCGTTAGTTTCATATTCTGTGAGTTAGGGAAAAAAAAGAGGGAGATGGAAGGAAGATCAAAAATGTGAGCGGGGGAACCATCATTGTTTCTGGTCTCCACCTTGATGCAAAACTTCTTCAATCCGCTGTTGTTCATGACGGCTTTGAAGAGTGGGATACCGCCTTGGTCTGTTATTGGGTTGTCCGAGAGGTCGAGTTCGCGGAGGGAGTCTGGATGCAATGGGTATTTTGTGTTCGATCTCTGGGCTTCCTGCTACAATGCAGGAATCCAACGGTCTCGGGTCATACACTTACAACTCTGCTCAACAGCTTTCAACATATTTTGGATGCACGTGTCCGTTGCGCGGGTTCGGCTGGGAGGTTGCGTACATGTGAGGTCTGAGTGGTTGGTGTTGCGCCCCGTATTGCAAAAACCTACTTACGCCAGATTCAATACCTGCAACGAAGTGTTCTTCGCTAGCAGCGTTGCAACAGGCTGCCCGTTCTCTCCCAAGCCATTCGCCTACTCAATTCAGAACCGATGATATGAGTGCTTTGAAACCTCCACCATGCAATCAAACACCATTCTCTCACACACCTCAAGAATCAAATGACTCAACACAACATTATCCCTCACTGCCGTCAAGAAGCCCATCAACCCCTTGGGCCGGATTTGGTTCCATCCTATTATCAACGCACACGCACTTATCATCATCAGCACACGTCCCTCTATATGTCTGAAAATAGTCATGATATGACAAATTCCTCACCAATATTCAACTCCTTCAATGTATCATTCCCCGCCACACCACTTCCCAACGCCATCGCGCCAAGGCATCCGATGTTGTTGTGGCTTAGGTCTAGTACTGTTCGGGCAATGTGAGATTGTTAGTTTCGGCGGCTTGCGAGGAAAAATGACAGGGAATTGGGGACCGGCATCAATACTGACATGTTAGAGTGGAGTTGTTCCGTAGATGCGAACCGATGAGGGATGCTTCTGTGTCCCCCAGTTTGTTGTCTAAAAGGCAAGGATAGGGTAGAGAATGAATGGTCTTTCGGCCAAGAGATTCCACAGAGCGGGAAATATGGTTGCTTCGTACCTCTCAAAATGAGTACCCGGAGCGTTGAGTTCTCACTCAACATTTCGGCAATGTCTCGTCCTCCCTGCCATCCTGGTTTTGAACAACTTACGTCACAACCTGGCCATATCACGAATACTGCATGCCAATTAACCCCTTCTCCCTACAACTAACCCAATTGATTGCCAGTAAGATTCAAATGAGTGATAGACGTATTTGTATGTAGTGCCTTCCCCAAATGCGCTCCGCCGAATTCGATATGATTCCCCGTTAGGTCGATGTGTGTTACACTTGTGTTTGTCTGCAAGGCCCCTTTCAGTCAACTCATGGCGGCATCCAGAAGTCTGTTATACCATGCACATTACCTCGAGCACTTGAGCTAACGCCTGCGCACCCTTCGGTCCCAGCCCATGATGCGGCATGGCGATTTCGTTACTTTTTAGACGTTGGGAAATGTAGGAGGATGGAACGATGCCGAGGATCTTGCAGGCTGTTATGTAGGGGTCGGAGAATGTTTTGCGGCGTGGGATCTCTATCAAATAGACTCTATCAGCACATCCGTCATCACGCCACATTCCCCACGTTAGAAAACTCTCAAACTCCATCCATACCATCAACATCCTCCAAAGGCGTCATCCACCCCTCATCTTCCTCCTCCTCCTCCAAAACTTCCTCTCCAACCTCCTCCTCAACAATCCTCACCCCCTCCCCTCCAACCCCCTTCTCCTCCCCACCACCATCCTCCCCAACCTCCACCTCCCCACCCTCTTCCCCACCAATCTCCCCACTCCGCCCCTTCTCCATCCCAATCAACCCCCCAACACCAGTCGCAGCACTCCCACTCCCAGCTCGCAGGGAACTATGTCCCCGCTGACTGGTTGATTGTCGGCCTTTAGATGTGGGAGGCTTGGATCCGGGCGTACCACGGCGTGAACCCGGGACGGAAGCCCGTCCCCCTTCGCGGGAGGATGGTTTGCTAGCAGCGCCACCGACGCGGGAAACGGGACGGGATGCAACGGATTTGCGTCCCGCTCCTCCTTCGCGGGTTTTCGAATCTCGGTCTGCGATGCCGCTGGCGGTGCGGCTGACGCTTGGGCGGGTTTCGGGGGTGGGCGCATCGTCTGGTTGTGCTGATTCGGCGTCGGGTGTTTCGGCGGGTTCGTGGAAGACTTGGCTTGTGCGGGATGTTCCGTCGGTTAGGGGGTGGTCTGTTGCTGTTACTTCTGGTGGGGGGCCAATGTCCTCCGTGTGGGGTTCACCAGTGAGATCTACTGCGGCGTCGTTGGGGACATCGATGGGAGGTGTGGAGGGTGGTGGTGGAGCCTCGTCGCTCATGTTTCGCCACTAGGATGTGTCAACAGTTTTTACGCAGTCAAAAGCTTGGGACAAATGTGAAGGTCTATACAACAAACTATGACAAAGGGAAGTGGGTGTGAAGGACGTTCGAAGCTGAAAACTCAAAAAATGTCAAGGAAACTAACTCAGGGTCCATGTGGCGCAGCCTCCGGGTCTTGCTCTCGGTCGCTGGTATGAATGCCTCCAGACTCACCCTATCACAGCAGACATCTCGTCCGGTATGTTTACGATCGAACTTTACCCTGCGCCACATGATACAGCCCTACGGAGTACTCCGATATTGAGCATTTGCGGACCTTCTCGAATCAGTCACCTGGTTGCGTTGTTAGCCAAGACTTTGAACCTGCTACTCCATCGTAATCGGATCTCGGCAAACACAGTGCTGGTTGGGCATTTCAGAGCTATCATCTTGAAATTGCGAAGGGGAGGAAGCTCTTGAGGGTCATATATATACCCCATAAAACCGCCTACCACATCCCCTCCTGCGCAAAATAGCGATACCATAGAACAAATCCAAAATGGGGAAGAAAAACAAGGCCGAAGTAGAACCGGACGTCCCTGACGATGCGCCTGCCCCGAAACAGAAAAGAAGACGATGCCGGGACGTGTTCTGGTTGTTTTTGTTTATGTTGGTTATGGTGGGGATGATCGTAATTTCGGGATATGCGATCAAGTATGGGGATGAGAAACGGTATGTGTTGTGTTTTTCGGAATGATACTACCACTTTTTCCACCCATTAGCCACTGACACGTCAACCCCCACAGTCTCCTCTACGGCCGCGACTCGGAGGGAAATCTCTGCGGTGCAGATGTGGGACAGGATTCCGCGCGTAACTTGACGGGATTGACGGAGCTATATTATTTCAACCTTACTACCTTCGACACGTACCGTCGATGCATCGCCTCATGTCCGGACGTTGATTTGGACCCAATTTGTCAGTATGATCAGCCAGTGCCGACGACAATGAGTGATATCCAGGCGGCTTGGAATAATGGGAGTTGTACGGCGACGTTGAAGAGTCGGAGTGGTAGGTTCTTTGAAATTATGGAGGAGGGGTTGTCACTTTCGTATTGCTCTCTCGGTGTTTTGGGACTGATTTTCGAATGTCATCTCCCCACTTTCCCCAGTAATGCACCGCTGCGTCCCAGAGATCCTCCTCACATTCGTGGACCAAGCGTCGCAGTCCATGGCATATAATGCTGCCGCCGCCGCGAATTTTACTGTGTCGAACCAAACGGAGAGCGATTGGGGGAAGATCATCTCTTCAGACCTCAACGCTCGAGATGCCGCCACGATGGTGTTCCAAGATATCTATGAGACGTGGTGGATCATCCTTGTGTACGTATGTCATATGTCCATCTCAAAACGTTAACGTGATGTCTCATGATTTCTTCTGCACAGCTGCTGCGGAGCCTCCCTCGTCCTCTCCTTCCTCTGGTTCACCTTCCTACAATGGTTCGGCGCACTCATAATCTACCTCACCTGCATCATACTTCTGGGTTCCTCCTGGGCCGTCGCTGCATATCTGTTGTACAACTTCTATCGAGTCAAGGTTGTGCATCAGGCGCTGATTGGGACTGGGTTTGGGACGATTGATTCTGCGTTGTACAACGAAAAGATTTTATTGGGGATGGGTGAGTTAAGGGGCTTGTTGATAGCTGGTGGGCGGATACTGATGTCGCTTATGATTGACTCAGGCGTCGCCTTTGGCATTATCGCACTCCTTTTGACGTTAATCATTTGCTGTTCTGGGAAGCGCATTCGGTTGGCAATCCAGATCATCAAGGAGTCTAGCCGGTAAGCAGTATTTAAACTTGCTGGCCCACATCCGGTAGTTGGCATAGGTGATTGCAGTTTTCTGAAAAAACCAACTTCAGAGCCCTCCAAGCCATGCCCTTTATCTTCATCTTCCCTCTTCTCAAATACGCCGTACTACTCC